CTAATAATCACTTTGGAATCAAAACTATAATAATCTATATACACATTTCTTGGATGTTCTTGGATCCACTGCAGGTTTATATATCCACTAAATTCAACTAGGCTTATTCTCAACGGAATGCATAGTGACTGTATGTAATAATATTTAATTCATTCATTATTTCTGAATATGGATCTATGGATATGTGCTCTTCTGAAGAAGCGCTAAACCGATATTTAAAAAAAAATAGCCCTATTGATAGGTCCCTGGCATGGAGATGAGATACAAGATGAAGCATCAGAGAGCAACTGATAATATCACTATCCTCGACTAGTGCTGGCAGTGAGTGACTGTGTCTGGCAAGATCTAGAAATAGCCCATGGAGCAGGCAAAATGATATTAATTCAGTATTTGTCTCTCTTTTTTCTCCAGGAGCTTGAAATAGTTAGAACTTCCCCCTTTATTTTATTTATTTAATTTATATGGCTACTCATCTCACCAAATACAACTTTGGGTGGCTGACAGCTCACAAAACAGCAATACAAAATAACCATCAGTAAACAACAGTGTATTTAATTTGTATATTTGATTTAATGTTTTAGTGTTTTATGCGTTTATTGCTTTAAATGTTTTTTTTAAATATTTTAACTAACACATTTTTTGAATTGTAAGCCACCCATAGCCATTGATTGGTCAGACATATAACTTGAATAAATAAATATAAAATGAATATAAAGGCTCATTTTCTCCATCACAAACCATTGACTTAATTGCAAAGTTGAATGATCAATTAGTCATAAACCCCATATCTCATCTGTACTAATTTCAGCATCATACATGCTGAAAATTACCACAATTTATAATAAATATCTTAATGAAAGAAATCTATAATAAATGGAATTTTAACTCATTAGAAAAAAAAGAAGAAGAAGAAAGCCAGTTTGATGTAGTGGTTAAATCACTAGATTAGAAACTGGAAGAACTGCTACTCTGGGCATGTAGCCAGCTGAGTGACCCAGGGCCAGTCACTTTCTCCTCCCTAGAAAGCAGGCAACGCCAAGCCACATGAGAGATCTTGCCAAGAGAACTGCAGGGGTTCAGGCAATCACCAGAAGTCAAGAGAACCCCAGAAAGTATCCTTTTCCCAGTTAACAGCAACTATTGGGGGGATGGCAGGGTCCCAAAGCTACAGAAGCTCTCTGAAGGTTGTGCACAGAAACAGCTGAGCACTATTCTCTGGCATTCGCTGGCTGGGGAATTCTGGGAGTTGAAGTCCGGACATCTTCAAGTTGCCAAGGTTGAGAAACACTGCACTAGTGCCACTTTGAGTGTTACACTGCCCAGGCTGGTTATCTTTATTATCTCTTCTCATCTCCAAATGGCTTTATATTATTTCTCATTAATATCGTGCCTCTGATAATTAAAATGTGTGCAGTCAGAATTGGGTGGCCTGGATAGGATATTTTATTCCCCCCACCGAATTACTTGGGCTGCCTATATGATTGGAAGGTTGGGCAGGAATGAAATCTGACCTACCCGTGGATCTCTGGCTGATCTGCAGCAGATCGGGAAGGCTGGGTGGCTCCCAGTTTAGTTTTGTTTGAACAAAAAAGAAATAACAAACGATCGTCCCAGCCAAAATAATACTGATGACTAACTGTGAGTTTATTATTGCAGTGTTTTTCAACCTTTTTTGTGCAAAGGCACACTTTTTTTCATGAAAAAAAATCNACCTGGAGGCCCCACCACATATGGGAAAGCCATGGCCACTAGAAGCACTGCCACCCTCTCCCCCTCCCCTCATCCCTTCCTGGGTGTGGAGGGAGGGAGGGAGGGAGGAAGAAGGGGATAATGGAATGAGAGGGAGGGAGGGTCTGAAGGAAGTCCTGCCTTAGCACGGTCACCAGCAGACCTGCTGCCCTTTCACCATCCCCTTGCCCCCTCCTCCTGGCCGCTCCTTGTGGTCTCCCATTCTATTGCTGAGGATACTTACAAAGCCAGGGCCCCTCACATGGAGAGGGAGTGGGCCTCCCTCTGAGCCATACACTTTGCCGTCCCACACTCACCAAGAGCAACCTGCTGAGGGAAAAATCTGTGGGGTATGGTGCCCTGGGAGCTCAAGAGCCAGGGTGAGTGCTTTCCCCTTGCTTCCCAGGGTTCCGGGCAGCCTATGCCACTGTCTGGGTGTCCTCTGCATTCCCTGAGAGCAATGATGAGGCTCCTCTGGTGGACAAGCTTTGGTAACTGCCTTCATCTCACCTTCCTCCTCTGGAGACCTCCAGATCCCCCCTCTCAGCCTTGCCTGGACCCCCATAGAAAGCAGAGGACAATGCTGCTGTGTGTGGAAATGTGGAGGAGAAAGTTTGCGGGAAGCAGTTTTCTCTGAGTCCAACTTCTGCCTTGACAGATCTCTGGGAGAGGAGGAGGGGGTGGCAGGGGAGCTGCATGAGGGAAGGCTGTCCCAACAAGCTAGCATCCTTATTCTGTTTCAAGAAGTGCTAGACTTCCTCCTACAGGACTGGGGAGCACTGTACCCCTGCCTCCTCCTCTTGCTGTCCAGAGATCTGTCAAGGCAGAAGTTGGATTCGACCGGAAGTTTTTCAGCTAGACAAACAAGGGAGGTGTGAGCTCTGAAGAGCCTCACATGAACTGTCTGACAAACCAATGGCGAGATCCTTTTTGGATCAGAACCTCCCTGTGTGTGTGGGGGGGGGGGTGAAGAAGGGGCAACATCTCATCAGATCCAGAGGGAGTGCAACTGGTTCCTTGTAGGTCAGAGATTTGTTCTCTGAATCAGACAGGGGAGGCAGTATGGCAACATGGCTGCACAAGAAGCTGACTTCAGGCCAAAGCAACTGAGCAGTAACATGCAGGAGACAGGATGAAAAGTCTGCTAAGAAGATCTAATTAACCCCCAGTCATAAATCAGAATTTGGAAAAGGCAAAGAACCTTGAGAGTATGAATAATATTGATGGACAGATCGGGATTTTGGCAGAAAGGAAGGAAGGAAGGAAGGAAGGAAGGAAGGAAGGAAGAAAGAAAGAAAGAAAGAAAGAAAGAAAGAAAGAAAGAAAGAAAGAAAGAAAGA